GCGTTTTTCTTCACAATCCAACGGTACCACTAAGTCCGGGGACAATTAGGGGAGCTCGTTTGCACGCCCACTTTCCGGTTCTTGTAGATCCTCCGACACATGCAACTTCATCAAACTTTTTACTGACAGCTAGAAAGCCGAAAACAGCTTACCAAATAATTCGTTTGAATCGAAAGCCCTCTGAGGCACGAATTATTTTTGGGTCTTTAAGTGTTAATAAATACACTACAGTTTCCGGACTTTGAGTGTGGTAGATATATGGTATTAGGGGAATGAGACGCGCTCAAAAAAGAGTAAAACAGAGAAGCTGCCAGCTGCATCAACGGCCAGAAGAAACGTGATGATGAAACAACAGCTGATCAAGGCACAAAAAAACATGGTAGGTAGATTTCATAAGCCGCGCACTGTTAGTCCACGGCCTGTAAAACCTCAACAGAGAGAATCTGTTGCGAAAAACGCGTCCTGGCAAAAGTCGGCGACAAAATACTTTTTAATAAGGCGTCGCAAATCGCAAGCACAAAACTTGCCCAAATCAAAAATTCCAAAAAAACACGATATACTTTTCATACGCATGAATTAGCTGAGCAGCTGAACTTCTTCCTTGTCCACATCCGCCACAAAAAAAAACATTCCTTATCAATAATGAAAATGTTGCCACAAATTTAGAATATGGTTAATGAGAAGAGCAGAAAAGCGAACGCTGGCTGTGACGGAGAAAACAGTGTGGAATGAAAAAAAAAAGCTTGGAATGTCTTTTCTGCTAATAAGCAATCGGACTCTCCGTTAGATGAGCGGTTTGTACAGGATATCACTGTAATCACGCGAAAAAATCAAAAGCGAAGGAAACAAGTTGCTCATTTCGCCGACGACCATAGGCTCGATTATTAGTAAATGATACTCACGAGCATTTAATAAACGACCATTCGGGCTGCCATCGAAACGATGGTGTACGTACATTGAACAGGCGATGGGTACTAACTGGAGGTATGCAGCCTGGGATCGAAAAATATGGCATAACTGCGCCCAGCGTGAGGAAGCATCGGCGTAACATTGCTAATATTTACTTTCTTTATCCCGGAAGATTTGGTATTCTTAATGCAGGAACACTAAAAATACGACACTAAAACGGACCGTGGGACACCGGTCACTTGTTATCACGAAAAAAAGCAGTCAGATACTGGTGACGTCCACGTAACATAGATGAACAGTAACACAGTAATTTCCATGTACTACATTCGAAAATCCCGAAACACCGTTACTCGCATACAAGAAAATTCACAAACCTCAGCAATTCGTAACGACAACGACTGCATTTACAAGGACTACTTTCAACACAAATTTGCTATTCTGTAAAAAAATTTCGCCCTCGTAGCCACAGGAAGACATCGGCCTAGCCCCAGCTTTCCAACCCACTTCCACAAGTCCACCCCCACTCCTTCCACCTGTCCCGTCTCCGGAATTTAACAGCCTGTAGGGTGATAAGCCCTCCCTTCCCTCATCCGTTCCACCCGTCACATTCCCGGAATTTAACAACCTACAAAGCGACAATATGCGTTTTTGCATTTGCATAAGACAACATAAAAACACAGCAAATTATAAAATGAAGTTTTACTTGCTTCAGAACCCCCC